CAAGCCTTGTTGCTAATCAAGAGATGGGAGGGTCAAGTCCAAACGGAAGGGCCTCAGGAGAGAGGCCTGGTGATCTGCTTCTGAAACATCAGCCACAGTTCTAGGCCAACCACAGTGGGCCACCATGCGCCCAACCGGTTCCCGGGCATGGGTGTGGGATGGTCTCGCTTGAAATCACTTCGGGTGCCCTTTGGCACTTGTCTTTAAGTCTGTAAGTCATAGATACAAAGGAAGCGGCGTCTGCAGCCTTTCTGCTCAGGAGAGCGTGTGGGCAGAGGCTGTGCTGTCCGGCAGCGGCCAGGCCCACCCAGCGTGACCTCGACCTCGCCTCCGGCCCCCTCCCTTGTCTCCCCAGCCTCACCGCAGCTGAAGTTGCTCTGTGGAGCCGACATCCTGAAGACTTTCCAGACCCCGGGCCTCTGGAGAGACTCACACATCCAGGAAATCGTGGAGAAGTTCGGCCTGGTATGTGTGCACCGGGCAGGCCATGACGCCAAGGCGTACATCTTGGCATCGCCCATCCTACGGAGGTACCAGGAGCACATACACCTGGCCCGAGAGCCGGTACAGAATGACATCAGCTCCACCTACATCAGGCACGCCCTGCGCCTCGGGCGGAGCGTGAAGTACCTGCTCCCGGACGCCGTCCTCACCTACATCCAGGACCACGCTCTATACACTGGGGATAGCCCCGCCAGGAACAAGGAAAAGACAAGCCGAGTCGGCGAGACAGCCGGCTGCCCCTCCTCCTCCTAGCTTCCCGTGAGGGGAAGGCCGCTGCAGTTTTGTCTCATCTTTCTTCTTCTTTTTACATTTCTGGTCTTTCTGCTATGCTTTACTTCTGGGGAGTTTTCCAGCCCCATGAGCAAGCCCTCCTCTGAGAACCGCCTGCCTGCATCTCAACCCCAGGCTTCTCTCTGGAAGATGGTGGGTGGCCAGCCAGCAGGAGGGTGCTATTTCTCAGAAGCCCTGAAAGCAGGGCTTGCCTGTTTACTTCATGCAAATGGTTCACTGTGAGCCCCAGTGAGCTCATTAGAAGGGGGATCCTGGATGCACAGAGGGGCACATCACAGCTGCCCACCGCACCCTGCCCCGCCCTAGCATTCTTTGTCTAGTGTCCAGCTGGCCTGCTGGGAGTGATCTGAAGATGCTCATTTTACCCACCAGCCACTGCTGCCCCCACCCCACCCTAGCAGAATGTTAGCAGGGAAGTCAAAGCCAGAAAGTAGCTCTTGGCTGACTTGCACCGAGTCTTCCCATCAGAACCGTTGTCTGCCTGCTCCCGGCCACTGAGAACACTTACAACACTTACGCAGACTCTGAGGAGGGCCTCAGACAATGGTTTGATCCACCGCTGCCTTGTAAACACCAGCACTTCTAAAAGGAGCGGAGGCAAAGCAGACGCCTTGGCTGTTTCAGAGCATCGTTGTGAATGTTTCATGGCCGCCTGCCTACATGAATATTGGCACAGAGCTAAATAATAAATTGACATCAAAAAGTATTAATGAAAAGTTTCCTTTTTTCCTTCTCCCTTTGTTATATTATTCATGCCCGGCGTGCCAGCTGTGGCTGGTCTTTTGAGCTCACCCGGACACGTGCTGCTGTTCCCATGGAACCGGCAGGAATTTGTAGGTTTATGGCCTCAGCTACTAAGCAATTGCTTCTCCACAGGCTGCAAACAGTTTTCTAATGTGAAGCGCTGGGTGAACAGCCGGGCTACTGGGCCCTGAAAGATGGGAGCAGAGGCCCCCAGGTGCACAGAGGGAGGACTGGCCACCCCACTCCAGGCCAAGAAGCAGTTTGGCCTGACCTGGTTCCCTTTGATTTGCTCGCTACCTTTGCGGGCCAAGCAGCCTGGTGCATTCAGAATCTACTTCTCTAGTTGACCCTACAGATTGCGTTGGCAGAAGAAAAGCAAAGGGTTTGCCAGGA